TACTATAAATATGTAGGTTTTACTTCAAGGTGTGGTTCATTTGTTTAATCAATGTACTTTTAATCCATCTGAACAAGTGAAGAACCTGGGTGTGATTTTTGACTCTGAGCTGACTTTTATACCACACATTATAAATATCACAAAAATAGGTTTTTATCATCTAAAGAACATCGCCAGAGTCCGCCCCATTCTCTCTCGGGCCAATACGGAGATTCTGATGCAAGCTTTTATCACCAGTAGGATAGACTACTGTAATGCCCTGCTTTCTGCTCTTCCCAAAAAGAGCATCTCAGGCTTACAACTTGTTATGTCCCCTCCTGAAGGTCTAGGAGGATGAGGGGACTAACACAGGAAAATAAGTGGAGGAGTGTGTGTGAGGACAAATAACGAGGTGGTGAGAGTAAAAAACAAAAGGGTTTATTAACAGAAGATGTCCATGTCTGAACGGCAAAATAAGGCTTAGTAATAATGGTGACGAATAAGGTGGAAACTGAAAACATAAGCAGACTAACTGCTTATGAAAAAGGCTTTCTGCAGAACTTAAATCACAACCACCTAAACGAAAATATCCCCGTCTTATAAGTCCAGAGGGGATAAAAGCCACCAAAATAAGAAAACTGACGCCTTGTCAGATAAATCCTACAAAAGAGGATAACCAAGCCAAAACCCTTTAACAAAACCCTTAGCAACTACCCTTAATATGTTTAGCCTTAGCATGGGTTGTAAACCGAGCTCAGGAGAATCGCAGACTAGCTCTGGATCCCCCTGACTGTCTGCTGTGTTCCTCTTTTAAGCCTGTCGGCCGCTTGATAGCTGATGAAGATCAGCTGCTGTCTTCTCCGGCGTGCCTCTCTCCGAGGTCCTGAATTGGCGCTGGGGTGCTGGAGAGTGTAAACCGCAGGTTCAGGCGCTGTTCCTGTCGCTGAATCCTCGGCAGTGGGGACAAAAGGCTCAGGTTAAAATGAGAGGATGGACCGAGGGGACGAGGGTCGTCACACAACTCCTACAAAATTCGGCAGCACGTGTCCTGATGAAGACCAGGAGGCGGGAGCACATTACACCGGTTTTAGTATCACTGCACTGGCTCCCCGTAAGTTTCAGGATCAATTTTAAGGTTCTTCTAATGGTTTTTAAGTGTCTTACCGGTCTTGGGCCTTCTTATCTCTCAGAACTGTTTTTACCATATGAACCCTCACGGCCTCTGCGCTCCTCTGGCAGGCATCTCCTGGTCATCCCTAAAGTCAGGACACACTCACGGCGAGGTGTCCTTCCAGTGTTGTGGCCCTCGCCGCTGGAACGAGCTGCCAGAGGACCTCAGGGCCACAGAGAATGTTCATGTTTTTAAGTCCAGGCTCAAGACCCACATTTTTAGGTTAGCTTTTATCTAATATATTTACTACAGTTGTATTTCTCGTTTTACATGATTATATTTTATTGCTTGCTTTGCATGTTTTATATGACTACATTTTAGCATTGTTTTCATTATTTAATAATTATTTTATTGTCTATATGATTTTATTTATTACTTATTTTCTAACTTTTGTCCCTTATATTAGCTCTTTTATTATATTTTTACTCATTTTAATCCAGTGTTTCCTCTGTAGGGGCCCTCTGCCCCGGGGACGGTGGTCGACTGTAGCTTCCTGGGCGCTCTATAGGTGGTGTTTAAGTGGAGGTGGGGGTCTATGCTCCCCCTCCACTGAGCGCCCTGACTTGCTGTGTCTCAATTCAGGGTCTGCATCCTTCGAAGGACCCAGCCTACTCAGCCGACGTGGGCTGGGTCCTCCGTCGGCCGAGTAGACCGGATGTTAACGGCTGTGAATTTGGACAGGCCTAGCCTTCATGAATTCCCGCCACTCCCTCAGTGAACGTTCCATCGCCTAGCAACCGTGGAACCGCTGAGCAGATGGGAGAAGGAACTTTAAACGATGGAGCTCAAAGTTTTATTTAGCTTTTTGATCATTTCCTTGACTGTTGGAGAGCTAATTCAGAGAAAATACTTTCGGCAAGCTGAGCCTAGCTAAGATGTGATAATAGTTTTTAATACTTTCTAAGGGTCTTAATTTGACCAAAACTGATTTATCACCTTTTAAGACTTTTCAAGACCCAGCGGATACCCTCTAGTAAACAATTCTCATTTGTAAACCAAAATAAAATTCAAGAGTTTATTACAGAACTGATTTTATTTAGATATTTCTTTTATATGTACATGTTTAATCTTTCTTAACCATTTTTTTCTAGCAAAGTAAAAAGCCTGTCAAAATTCTTCCTTCTCTCCTGTGCCCTCTGCTGCTCTGCCTCCCTCTGCAGCCTCATGTCCTCTCTGATCAGCTCCAGAAGCTGGTCATCGCTGTCACCTTCCCCCGGCTGCCCATTTTCTCCAGAATAGTCCCAATAAACATGTAAGAAAAAAACAGGAAGAGAAAAGAGGACAATGGGTTATTCCTTTCATGTATTCGCAGAAAAAAACTAAACTCAAACGACAGTTTTTAAAATATGAGATGTTATTGTACCTCCAAGCCACAGCCGCCGAATACTTTGCTCCAGTGAACATGTGGTCCATCTCCGCCCTAAGCTTAATAAAGTCCGTGGTTTTCTCTTTTGTCCATAAAATACAAACTTCTATTAAAATCGGGGAAAACGTGGCGGGAGAAGTACGACACCGAGCGGCCGAACATACGAGCCGAGACCGCAATACAAGCACTTTTACTGTAACATTTCAAACTAAAATAACGTTCATGTATCACAAAAAGCCCTTAACCTAACAGTTTTCAAGTTTATACTGACATTTATATGCGCAATCCTCTCCGACAGCTCCCGCTTCACTGTCCACCATTGTTTTTAAAAGTTCTGCCATCCGACCCGCAAAGCATCTTGGGAAATGTAAACCAATGAAGGATACACGGACCCATCCTCCTTGCAGGCGAAAAGAAGGCCGGATTCGTCGACCGCATTTGAAGGAGTCTTCTAATTGGGACAGGCCTAGTCGCGGCGCTGTGACGTAACCGGCTGACGAAGGATGCAGACCCTGAATTGAGACACAGCCTTCGTGTGGAAGACCTGATGCTACCGGGGCAGATGGCTCCTCTGATGGCGTTTCCTTGCCTCACCTTACTTGGCTCATCTGGACTCAGCCAAATATAATTTTTACTTGTGTGCGTGCGTGTGTGTGTGTGTGTGTGTGTGTGTGTGTGTGTGTGTGTGTGTGCATGTGCGTGCGTGCGTGCGTGCGTGCGTGTGTGTGTGTGTGTGTGTGTGTGTGTGTGTGTGTGTTTGTGTGTGTGTGTGTGTGTGTGTGTGTGTGTGTGTGTGTGTGTGTGTGTGTGTGTGTGTGTGTGTGTGTATGTGTGTGTGTGTGTGTGTGTGCGTGCGTGTGTGTTTGCATATGTCTGTTAATGTTTTTAACCTGTTATGGAATCTGGGGTCATTTTGTAAAGCACTTTGTTTGAAAATTGCTTTATAAATAAATCTGACTGACTGAATCTGATTGATGTACATTATAAGTAGGAATGAGAATTCCTGAAGAAATTTTAAAAGGGTCCTGCCCACTGGCACAAGATAGTGGCCATATGTTATATGAGCCCAAAATCATGATACTGGGGTGATGTTGGGGTAATCACACCGAAATCTTGATTTTCAAGAGACTTTTGGTTTATCACCCAAATATCATGATACACAACACTTCCCATGGCCAAGTCTGTCGTAATGATGTAGCATGCGGGGGGGCACGCTGCCATTTGAATACACACAAATTGAACACACGCATAATGACCACATGTGTAATGATATTGGGATGACCATATCATTGCACAAAATTAATAAATCAAGTAATTAATTTATAGTTTACATATTTAATTAATACATTTGCTAATTGAGGCATAAACACACTCAAAAGGATATTTTTCAATGGATTTTGCTGAAAATTTCGCCATGATAAATCGGACCGCTCATAAAAGTAATATACAGATCCGACAGCCAAGCCACTCGTCAAAACTTATTTTGAGTCTGAGAGGGTTAACGTCCGTGGAAGAATAATAGTAAAGCAGGTAAGTACATTTTATTTATAAAGCACCTGACCCTAACCCTAACCCATCACAGACAGAGAATCACAAAGTGCTTCATTTAGATCAAAAACAAAACCAAACAAATCATAAAGTCGTAAAATCATAATGATCTTAAACAAACTGAAATATATTAAAATCACAAAAACAAAGGCAAAAAAATATAAAATATGATAAAAGAAATAAAAGATTATTACAAATGTTTATATGTTGTTGATATTGGGGTGAAACACACACAATAAATGATGTCTGAGTGATGCTGGGGTGAAAACCCCAAATTCATAATATTTGGGTGATGTTCGGGTAAAAAAAACTAAAATAATGATAATTTGGTGATGTTCGTGTCACGGTTTGCCTCTGCAGTAACCCATTTGCAGGAATAAAGATCCTTTATCCAGAGTTCAAAAAAGATTTAATAAACAAAACTTCCTCCACTGACTGTGGGAACCAAAAACCAAAACCAAACTCAATCCATACAAGTACAACTGAGCAAAGACAACTCCACACTGATGACTGGCAGCAGTGGCCTGAAATAGGGTGAGGGCAATCAAGATGATGTGGTTCAGTTGCAGCACTCCAGGAGGTTCACAGGGAAGGGGAGGATTCCTGAGAGGAGCTGCAGCTGACCTGAACAAAAACAACAGAGAAAAAGTTAAACACAAACACAAAAAGGGGCGAATCATAACAGTTTGGGTGAAAACCCCCAAAAAATTATATTTAAAAAGAAAACTGCTGTAAAAACCCATGAATAATTCTGCGCATATTTAATAGCTCATTATGCAAATTTAGAATGGAACACATTGTTTTCCCTTTATGACATCACAACAAAGGGACAAAGCCTATAAATTTGAGCCTTTGATCCCAGCAGTTCAGTTCTCAGTCAGACGCTGATAGAGACAGTTGTGTTCGATAGTTATCGCCAAAGTCTTACTTAGCAGTATGGGCAATTATCTTGCACGCAAGACTTGCTCTCCAGCTCTGGATGAAGATTCAGAGACTTGCATCAGCATGGAACAACCACATTTGTCAGAGAATCGTGGTTTAGTTTCATCAAACAAACGAAAAATGGTTTCAGACCATGAAGCTCCCACTAAAAGGTTGAAGGTTTCTGAAGAAGAAAAACTCTCTGAAACCAACCCTAACATCATACAAACAGAGAAATTCTCAATTTCCTTTGACGGCGAGGGATCTGAAAATCCAGAAAAGGGATCCAGATGTTTGGTTACTGAGAATGGATCGACGTCTGCCAAAAGCAGAAACGTTTTTGATCGCAAGTCTCTCACAGAAACGTCTAGGATCTCAGATGAAGGCTGTTTATCCACAGACATGCAGGCTCCAGTAAAAAGGGCCTCAAAGAGGTTAATCGGCCTGGATGGTGAGGGATGTGGAAGTCCAGCAAAGAGACTCAGACTGTTAGCTTCTGAAAGTCCCTCGCCTTCAGCTAAAGAGCTATTTGACGCAAAATACGAGCAACAAAACCAACTCGGAAAGGGTGGCTGTGGATCTGTTTATGGTGGCTACCGCAGGGCAGACAATTTGCCAGTGGCAGTCAAATACATACCGAAGGAAAATGTCGTCTGGACCGATACGAACGAGAATGGCCAGCAGCTCTCTGTTGAGGTAGCCGTCATGCTAAAACTTCAGAAAGAGGAAACCAGTTCGGTGGGGAAGTCAGCTCCAGTTTCCCTCCTGGACTGGTACGACTTAAACGAAGAACAGATTCTGGTGTTGGAGAGACCAGTGCCTGCAGTGGACCTGTCACAGTTTATCGAAAATAACAAAGGGCCTCTACAGGAGAACCAGGCTAAAACTATTGTAAAACAGCTGGTTGACGCTGTCAAACATCTGGAGGACACCAACATCTTCCACAGAGACATCAAACCTCAAAATATTCTGATTGAAACAGGATCAGAAATCCCTCAACTGCGAGTGATTGACTTTGGACTGAGTTGTTTTACCGACAGAGAGTATGAAGACGGCTGGTTCTACGGCACAGAGAAGCACGCCCCTCCTGAGTATATTTCTAAAAGCATTTACGAGGCAGGACCAGCAACCGTGTGGCAGGTGGGGGTTGTTCTCTATGAAATGCTCCACGAAAGTTTGTTTGACTCTACAAAATTTCTCAAAAATGAACTCAAAATCAGGACGGATCTCTCTCCAGACTGTAAGAGACTCCTAAAGAGCTGCTTCACGAGAACCCCATGGCGACGTCCCACCTTAAAGCAGCTCCAAAGTCACCCTTGGCTTTTATAAAACGCAGAAACTAAAGTCTTCAAGGTTTCTTCCTGTTAAAAGGAGCTTTCCTCTCCGCTGTAGCTCAGTAAGGGGACTGCTGAAAAGTCACTGACTCAACAAATCTGTGACTTTACAGCAATCAGCTGGGTTTCATTACATAGAAAACATTGAACTAATTGGAATAATGAACTCCATCACTTGTTTAATGATTTGATTTGGAGTGAAGACAGCGGGAGGGTTAAGGAGCCTGTAAACTGGATTCAATTTAATAAAGCTAAAGAGAATTAAATTTTATTGAATTGAATGAAAAAAAAACAAAAAAAAAAAACAACTAACTCTGCCAGAGTGCCCTCTTTGGGTCACTTCTGCCGGTCCCAAGCCCGGATAAAAGAGGAGGGGTTGAAACTGTGACAGATAAAACATCACATGAGGTATTCAGTCATTTATGGTTTCATTTATGTCACGATTACTTCAAGGCTGGACTGCCTCAGTCAGCCGCCTACAGGATGTCCCAAACGCAGCAGCACGCCTTCTCACAGGGGCAAGGAAATATGATCGCATCCCCGCTGTACTGCTGGAGGGACTGTAAGATATTGCTGCTAGTTTTTAAATGTTTGCATGGTTTAGCTCCCTCTTATGTGGGACCTGATCGAGCCGTACGTCCCGTCCCTTCTCTGCGATGGCCCTGTCCCGTGGACCAGTCCAAGCCTGGAGTGAGGACAGCTGATTGCTTGTCCTCTTTTAAAGCACGTCTAAAACGCATCAGTGTGCTTTGCCATTTCAGCGATAAGGCTGCAGGCTTTCTTTTCCTCCTGCTGTTAAAGCTGCTTTCCAGAGTTCTCCCCTAGAAATGATGTATGACTTTTCAGAAATCCGTAAAAGTGATTTTCTCATCATGTACTGTGATGTCATGTAAGCACTACGTCTTTTTTTCTTTGCTAAGCACGCCCCGCAGAGCTCCGTGCAATAGGAAACTGAGCGCCGACCAGAACCAACCAATAGCGTTAGACTAGCGCTTACTTGCTTCAAATGTAAGGAATACCTCGGCTGATGCAGAGTTGATGAACTTTTCTCTGACAAGAAAGTCTCTAAAATATAAATATATGAGAACACAACATGACACGAGAATAATACTCGTAAAACGACGTGTTTTAGCTGTTTGTCGGCTACAGAAGCACATTTATAAACAGAAACGTGAAGTCGCCATCTTAAACAAACAGAGCAACAGATGTTTTGTGTGATGTGCCTGTCAGCCGCTAGATGGTGCCATCGGATAAGAGAAATACTCCAGAAAGCTTTAATCGTTCACATTTATTTTATGTGTAGAACTGACGCTTTCATTTCTGTAACTTATACTAGGCATTTGGTCCTGGTCGTCTGTGATTCTAACTTTCTGTAATGGTCAGTTAGCTTTTATGCTTTTATATTTTTGCCCATGTTCAGCACTTTGGGGTAACGGCTGTTGCCGTTTATATGTGCTTGACTTGACTAATTTGTCTAAAATCTCATTACTAATAAACTTTTATTGATTTCTCTTGAAATATTATGTAGATTACATTCTAGCTCCCCAACTGTTTGTCATGGTGTGGAGAGAAGTTCCTGCATTCCTATTGCAGTAATCTTTTGTATGTTGCATGTCTTATTTTCAAGCATCTATAAATTCATCCGTTTATCTGTGGTCAGGTCGCGGGGGCAGCAGCCTACGAAGGGAGGCCCAGACTTCCCTCTCCCCATCCACTTGGGCCAGCTCCTCCAGGGGAATCCTAACTTCTCCTGGTGTGACGTGCCTGGAAAACCCCACCAGCGAGGCGTCGAGGGGGCATCCTAACCAGCACCGGCGCTCCGCACGCGCACACCACGCATAGCGCGTAGGGCACCACGCCAGGGGAGGGGCACCAAACGCAAGCTTATGATAAATAATATATATATAATAAAGACAGATTTCAATTAGAAGATTTGCAAAGCAAGTTAACAGCATGTTTACAGAGAGAAAACAATAGAATAAGTAAAAGAGATGGACCATGTCCACTTTTCACTCTGTCCGGAGTCCGGACTGGGGGTTCTTGTGAAAATATCCGGATTTTCATCCAGGAGCAGGGATCGAATTATGGGGGAGCTGTATATCCTATACATCCAGGGGAGCTGGAAAAAAGTTTTCCACCTATATTACATCATTTATGGACTCTTTTGAGCAGAGAGCTCAGACAGCAGCACAGCACCGATCGTTGTTGCGCAGCGCTCCAGGCAGCTGCGTCCAGCGCACGGTCCATTCTCAAACTGGCGCAACCAAAAAACTATAATTAACCCACGGTCGTTCATGTCCGCACATGTTCTCTACTTTCTGTCTAATTTGTGCCTGAAGCGCTCTGCTACTGCGGAGCTCATCACCTGTGCTGCGGTGATTTCACCTCACTGACGCAGCATCGAAACGCGCTCTCCGCTTTACGGTCAGGAGATCCCTTTGATCTGCTCAGAAGTAACTGATGAAGTGAAAAAGTAAGAATCCAGGCAGTTTTTTCTGGAGAGTTTAGAGGAGATGCAGGAAGATGAGAGACAGACAGGACAGGAAAATAGTTCAACATAAACAAAACAAAGTGTTGAAAAGTAAAATGTAGGTAGATTTATCTCCTCTACGTGTTTTTACCTGTATAAAACAATAAGTTACACACATGTAATATTTATACATCTGATACAATTCAGATCACCTTCATAACTCAGTCACACACCCAGGGCCGTGTCAAGACATTTTGGGGGCCAAGGCAAAATGACCCACCCCCCCACCCCCCCACACACACACACCCACACACACACACACACACACCACCACCACCACCACCACCCCATAACTGGGCTCCCCAAGCCTCTGTGTAATTCATACCCTCTCCAGTAGTGTTAGTTATACAGTGTTTATAAAAGCCCCTCAGACATCACTGACATGTTCTAATATTATCAGATGAAGAACTAAATTATCAGACATGCTGTCTCATCTGCTTCTTTTCTAAACTTGCAAAAAGTAACAAAACCATTTGAAAGCCACTATTTGTGGATTCTCTGAACGTTTCCATGGAGTGTGGGACAACTTATTTTTTTCACTGAACCTATCATTATTCCTGGGGTTATTCCTTTCATGTATTCGCAGAAAAAAACTACACTCAAATGACAGTTTTTAAAATATGACATGTTATTGTACCTCCAAGCCACAGCCGCCGAATACTTTGCTCCAGTGAACATGTGGTCCATCTCCGCCCTAAGCTTAATAAAGTCCGTGGTTTTCTCTTTTGTCCATAAAATACAAACTTCTATTAAAATCGGGGAAAACGTGGCGGGAGAAGTACGACACCGAGCGGCCGAACATACGAGCCGAGACCGCAATACAAGCACTTTTACTGTAACATTTCAAACTAAAATAACGTTCATGTATCACAAAAAGCCCTTAACCTAACAGTTTTCAAGTTTATACTGACATTTATATGCGCAATCCTCTCCGACAGCTCCCGCTTCACTGTCCACCATTGTTTTTAAAAGTTCTGCCATCCGACCCGCAAAGCATCTTGGGAAATGTAAACCAATGAAGGATACACGGACCCATCCTCCTTGCAGGCGAAAAGAAGGCCGGATTCGTCGACCGCATTTGAAGGAGTCTTCTAATTGGGACAGGCCTAGTCGCGGCGCTGTGACGTAACTGGCTGACGAAGGATGCAGAC